TAAATCTGCAGAGTTGAAGAGCTTTAATTCAAGCATGACCTGTTTGAGGTTATGCCACAATATGTTAGCTTTGAATGGGTGTCTCAAAAACCTTCATTTTAATCTTATATATATTTGTTATTTTTGCTATCCAAAGGCAGACTTACTGCAGTGATTTGAAACATTACCTTGCAGCATGAGCAAAGTGAACTTTACCAAGAATTAAAGATCAGATTCTTCCTTCAAGATTTCAAGAGAGCAGAATTCAGTTAGCAACATCTGTTTGTTCAGGTCCTGAAACAACAAACTATCACACACTATTACCATGTTTGACTCTAGGTATGATGGTTGTTGTTTTTCTAAAGTGATATGTTACGGAGATGTACCCCAGATACAATATTAGCCCCACCTTCCAAAAACCATAACAATTTTCTGCTCAGATTACCGAATAATATGTGATCATTCTTAGAGGTTGTCAACAGATTCTTTGGACAAGTGTGAGAAGTGCCTTTAAAGTTATTTTTCTGAACTCTCCCATAGGTGCTGGCCCATAGATGTGGCCTTTGGTGCTTCAGACATTGCTCTTTTCCTTGGGTCCTTTGATAATAACCTGAATTTGACATAGATTCATTTTGGTAAATTCACCACTGTTTCTTTGCTTTCTCCATTTAAGGAAAATTATTCCCGTTGTAAATCAGTAAAGCCTCTAAGTCTAAGAAAAGGCTTTTTCCAGTTTCTTTTTCAGTTGTTTTTTTTCCCCCTGAAAGTTTTTAGATTGACCAGTGTTAGTATTTAAATTGTTTGGATTATAAAATGCAATAACCCTTTTTTTTATGGAGCTGTCTTTTACTTCTGAACTATGCTATTTATAAATTCAGCTTTCGGGTGGCAAGCCTGAAAAGTAAATAAATGCATCATAGTGCACACCTGAAAATTATTTAGGAAGAAGCTATAAAAATATTCAGCACAACCATGAAGAAAGGCCTGGGAAATACATCACTCTTTAGTTAATCATCACTTGCCTATTGAGGGTGAGGTTTAAGCAACTGCACCTTTTGGAACCACTGTTCAGAGGTGGGAGGAGTACCCAAAAACTGTTCTTTAGTAAGAGTAGCACTACTTCATCATATTTTTACTACAGCAAAAAAGTAAAAAGTAAAAAATGACTGCAAAAACACTATTTCAATTTTTTTTATATAAAACAAAAAAAATCAATAGTTACAATAATGTAGAAAAGGTTAAATTAAACTATACTGTTTTCTGTATTTTCTATCAACCTCCAAATGTCACTGCAGACTCAGCAGATACAACATTTAACCAATAAGCCTTGAGTATAAAAAAGAAGAAAGGGACTCTCTCAGTGGTGCATATTTGATTAAAACAAGCTTGTTTTTGCAAAGTGAATCTACACACAATGGATGGAGTAGCCAGAAATTATACTTAAGCAAGAATAGTGATACTTAATCACATTTTTACTCTAGTGAAAGTCAAAGGTAAAACGCATTAAAACTATTTCTAAAAGTACATTTTCTCAAAAAGTTATTGACGTAAATGTAACTAATAACTTCCCAACTGTGCACCTCATTGACGCTTAAATTGCGCTTTCTATTTTTATTTACTATTTTTTGCTTTTTTACACAAACTTCAAAAAAAATTATGACTTTAAGACATGCTGCTGGTGACTGAGAGCTTTATGGTCCAATTTAGGATCAATTTCTCCGACACAGCTCATCCAGCTTTATTCAAATGACTTATAAAGTCAGATTTAAATGGTTTAACAAACAAAATAACATTAAATTGAAAATGCTCAGGAAATGGACTGAAAAGCTGCACAAGTGAAAAGAAATCCAATAGGAAAGGTAAGCAACTGAACTCCACAGCTGCAGTGTCATGCGATACTATAATATAATATTGTAATATTATAACACAAACGGAATTGATTTGGTTCATAGTACAGTTAACATGATTGTATGTAGATTGTTTTCCAACAATAAAAAGCTGTGCATACCTGCAACTTTAATGAAGGAACCATGATCAAACTTACAACAAATCTATCTCCAGCATGAGGATGAACTATTAACCCAAAAATAGATAAGTTATTCTACTGTTTAATGTTAATCATTCACAAGGTTTACAAAGAACACTGATATTTTATTAGTTTAGGTGTTTTCCCATTGCTTTAAAAGCTTCCTTGTAATTTTTACACAAATGTAATCATTTTAATATGTGTCTGCACTCATAGATATGAACTGTGTGAGAATAACAATCCGTGTTCTCAGATTTTCTCAAGTTTCCAATAACAAAGAGATTTTATTAGTTTAGGTGTTTTCCCATTGTTTTAAAAGTTTCCTTGTAATTCTTACACAGATGTAATCCTTTTAATTAGTGTCTGCATTCATAGATATGAACTGTTTGAGAATAACAGTCAGTGTTCTCAGATTTTCTTTTTTTTCAGTTAGTAAAGAACCCTGCACCAATACAAAACAAAACAAAACAAAACAACAATTCACTGTGTATACACTCTGTGTGTCCAAAATGGCAATAAAAGTTGTCTAACTCTGAGTCAATATTAAGAGGGACCAGCAGAGGGCGTTCTGCTCAGACTGGAATGGAACAAACAGAAACAGCACTTCTTTAAACTTTATTGCTTAGACTAATTGGTCTGAGTGGCTTAAAAAAGGACAAAATAATTACAAAAACTATAATAGTTGAATTGCTGTACGGTGCTTATCAATCCATTGAAGAGAAATATTTAACACCCCTGAATTATTATTATGAATGATTTGTTCTTATTATAAATTGAAATAATTCTGGCATATGTGCCAGAATAACTGGGAGGAAACTCTCAGACTCTAAGTTTGAGCATTTCTGACCTTTGGCAGATATTCAGAGGTGTCCTCGAAAGGTTCCTGAAAACCCAGCAACAGCGAGCTTCTCTATGCAACTCAGCCGAGGCTTGTGAGGTTACGCAAAACAGATGAAGGCTGTAAAATAAGTTTTACACAGTTTCTTTTACTATTCCAGTTATCTGAAAGTTCACAGAACTGCAATCAAGATAACGGAAATGCTTGATAAGCTCTTAGAGCAATGAAAAGTAACAATCTTCTGACAGGTAGTCAATCTGTCCTCAAGTGGGATGTCAGGAGCCGTCTGGCTTCATCATCAAAAACTAACAGAATAAAGGAACGTCTTCTTTATAAAGCATCTGATAAATTATCATCCAGGACTGTGTTTTAAACTATAAAGTAAGATTATTATGTTCTCAGTAGCAATGTGACCTTACACTGAAAAACAATATTAAATCAACACCCTTGTTTATTGATGTTGGAGATCGGCCTGTTTTCCAGTGTAGTACTGTTTCTCTGTTTCTCTGGATGTGCTCTCTCCATCCTCTGACATGGGAGCTGGCTCCGAGCTCGTCTGCCTGGCTGTGTGTTTCATGGATGGGGCCACCTTTTACAGCTGCTTTTTGTGTCTCTACTTCTGTCTCCTTGAACCCCAGTCGGAATCAGCAGATGGCCGCTCACACTGAGCCTGGTTCTGCTTGAGGTTTCTTCCTGTTAAAAGGGAGTTTTTCCTCTCCATTGTCGCTACAAACATGCTTAGTGTGAGGGATTGCATTCGAGTCAATGAGTCAACTGGTTTTCCTTAGATAGAAATCTTTGAATCAATTTGACTGTAGGATCTGGTGAACTGTAAAGTGACTTGAGATGAAGAGTGCTGGGAATTGGAGCTATATAAATAAACTGAATTTAATTGGGTAAATGTTCAATGGGGAATAAAGGTCATGTTAAAACAGTTTTAAACAAAACAACTAATGGAACTAACTGTTGCTGATAATCCCTTCAAAATAAAATTAACCAAAACAAGTTTACAATCCACCATTCAAATGAGATGTGTGCTTCTTGGAAAAACTATTTATGACTTCACTAGAAAGAAGAATATGGGGACAAACATATTATATTAGTGTATTTTTTCACCAACCGTCTAATGAACTATACACAGTTATTAACATAGTAATTAAAAGTACTACTATCTCAGAGAATAGACTTTAAAATACTTCTGTTAGTCTATAAATCTCTGAATGGCTTACAGTAGCACCTAAATACATCACAGACTTGCTATCAGTGTATCAACCCTCCAGACCACTCAGGTCTTCTGGATCCAGCCTGCTCTGCATACCTAGAACCAGAACTAAACAAGGAGAAGCAGCATTTAGTTCCTATGCTCCACTTATCTGGAACAAACTTCCAGAAAACTGTAAAAGTGCGGAAAGCCTGAGTTCCTTTAAATGAAGACTAAAAACACATTTGTTTAGGATTTCCTTAGACTGTTCTAGTTAAACAGTTCAACTGAAAGATCATTAGTTTAACTTTTTTTTTCTTCAGTCCAATTGTTTTTAATATTCTTTTATGTTTCTGCATTTTTTATTGTATTATTTTTTCCCTACTTGCTTTGATTAAGTTTTATTTTCCTATATTTTAATCATGTAAAGCACTTTGCATTGTCTTTGTACTGAATTGTGCTATAAAAATAAATTTGCCTTGCCTTACTGTCTGTTTTGCTATGGTGTCGTGTTTAAAGGGGTCACCATCAAGTTAAAATCTGGCATCTGTTGGGGTATAAATACGATCTGATCAGACATCTTAAAATCCGTTGGGCTTTTAAAGGAATTTTTTTCCCCCGCACTATTACATATGCAATGAAACTTCCTAGTCCATAAATTGGTGGGGGTCCTACCAGGTGTCAGTGAAGGGGACCCTAAGAGGTCGAGGGCCCCTAAGCAACTGCAATTTCTGCTTACTCATAGCTACGCCATTGTTAGTGAGACTGAAGAAGTTTTCAAACATGTTTTTAGAAAAGCGGGTGAGGGAAAACAGGAGCAGAGCTGGTGCTCCATATAACGGTATGCTCCCCCACCCATTCATCCAAGCCTCTTCCCCTGGATCAATGCACTGCAATGCATGGTGGGAACTGAAGTCCCCGCGGCAAAGAGTGGGGCTCGCTTCTGCGCTGCGAACCGGTCAGCTGCATCTTCCAGGAAAAACTACCACTACCGAGATGCTAGAGCAGGGATGGTTTCCGGGAAGGACCTGAAATGTTTGGCCGGGTGTTGGAATGGGGGGAGAAAGTGTGAGGAAAATGACCGGATTGCTATTTTTAAATGAGGTTTAACTTCAATCAGAGAGGAGGAGAGGGGGAGTCTGAAGGGGGATGAATGAACCAGCCGGGTGAGTTTGGTTTTCCTCTGCAGACAATAACCTACAAGTTACGATGCTGCAAGTTGGCCGACAGGCAAAGAGAGTGGGGTTCATGTCTGCGCTGCGATGCTGCTGCACGGATCTGCAGAAGGCAGAGAACAGCGGTGCTCTCTGTCTGCTGGGGCTCCTGCATAGCGCTGAGGCGCAACAAAGGATCAGTGTGATCAGCAGGGTGTTGGAGGGAGTGTGTCGATAAACTCACCCTCGGGGTCTCTGTTTGATCACTATCAGAATGCATAGGCCTTGCATGTGATCGGTGCAGGGAAAGAGTGCTGTGTTGTTTACCCATAAGTATTAGTTGCATTGACAGATATGCAGACGCTCGTTTTGCAGCTTGTGTGTGAAGGCGAGAATGCGCTAACGAAGTCAATTTAATGCTTTTGTGCAAACACCTGCTTTTGTTTGGACATATTTAACCGGAAGTTGCTGTATTTTCCCTGCTGGCTGACTTTACCTCAGTGTTCAGTCGAATCCAGTTCCAGCTTCGAGATTGCCCCTCCACCAGTTCTGCGTTGACGATTAAGACGTGCGCCTCTACACGGCGTTTTACGGCCACGGGGGAGGGGGTGCTGATGCGTTCAATTACTCCACATCTACTAGATTATTCATGTTAAAACAACTAACCACAGGTTTTATCAGCTTCTATAGCCATAAAAATTCCCCACATACTTATTTGCCCACGTAATATTTTTTAAATTATTTTAATTATCCTCCATAATAGTTTTATAAAATGTCCCAATGTGACAAAAACAACAAAGTCTGGTTAGCCCTCTCAAGGCTCCCTTTAAAATAGTATATAATTATTATTTAGGACAATAGTTAATGAAGCACATGTGTATTAAATAATATGATTTATTTTACATCATGGACAGCATAAGTTGATAGTTTAACACAAAGGAAGACTATTAATGGGTGATTTATTTCAATGTCCTGAGACAAAGTTGTTTCTAGTAATTCATGATGTGAAACAGGGATTTTGTTAAGGCATTAATTGCTGAGTTTTATTTTTAATAATAATTCCAAGTCATATTTTAAAAAATAGAATTCTCAAATACATCGTTCTTTTAAGATCTTTATTGCAGTTTGAAACATATTATATGAGTGTATTTTTTTACCAACCATCTAATGAACTATACACAGTTATTAACATTGTAATTAAAAGTACCACTGTCTGCTTTGCTATTGGTGTCGTGTTTAAATTGCATACCATCCTGTTGAAATCTGCCATAAATAAGGTCCCGTCAATCTACCTAGTATCAGGTGAGTTTAAGAGGAATTTTTCGTCCATTACATCTGCAAAGAGTCCTATTCCACAACCACATGTGTCAGTGAAGGGGCCTCTAAGAGGTTGGGGGCCCCTAAGCAACTGCAGTCTCTGCTTACCGATAGTTAGGCCATTGTAGAGAATATAAATATATTTTTTTCTATTGAAAATTTGAATACAGAAATGTTAAGTAATGCCACACAGTCAAGAGGAAGACAGCTGATTTCACAGTGCTCCATTAGAGTTAAAGGGAAATGCCGTTTTTTTTTTACATTGGGCCCTTGATTTTACGTTATTACATCATGTTCTACCCACCAATATGAGTTTTGTGTCATTTGGAGCTGTTCTAAAGATATTCCGTTAGGTTATTAGTAAGCAAACTAAACTGTTCATAATTTATAATTTATTTATTTATCATTTACAGTGAGGACAGTGATTCGCCTACATGTTATGAATGCTGGCGTACCATAAAGAATAAATTATGAACTGTTTAGTTTATTTACTTGGACATAACCTAATGGAATATCTTCAGAACAGCTCCAAATGACACAAAACTCAAATGGGTGAGTAGAACATGATGTGATAACGTAAAATGAAGGGCCAATGTAAAAAAAAAAAAACCAGCGTTTCCCTTTAATGACACCTTCATTTTCCTTTCTGTTCACAGCGAGGTTAAGCCACAGCAACTGATGGCCATAGAAGCTTGCTGTCCTAATTTGTGTAAGCACGTTGAAGGAAAGTAACTGAAAGAAAAACACAGAAAGGACAGCGAAGTAAGCAAAGCCTGAGAAGAATCTAAAGCAAAGCCACTTTAAAAGTCCCAAGAGGCTTCACAATTTGTGGAAAATTGTAATAAAAAAACTAGAAAAAAAACTTAATATTTATCAAGTATGATCAATGTTTAATAAACGTGAACGAAAACTGATTACTGGATTGTGTAGAGTCCATAATTTGACGTTATTTCAATAGATTCTGTAGATTACCAGCTGCGCTTGAACGCACCATTGCACCGCGTCCGTGTAGAAGCGCAGCAAGCGGAGTAACTCGTTTTGACAGGAGAACCAAGATCGACACAACACCTGTCTGTTTTTCCTCTGAGCTGCATCCACCGGCGCAGGAGCACAGAGCATCCGCGGAGCCTCTACCGCTGAATCTGATGCTTTCCACGCGGTAGACCGAGGGAGCGCCTCAGGTAAGGTGTTTCTCTCTAACCGGGATTAAACCGAGATTGATGTAAATCGACTGGTTAACGATTGTAGAATATATGCGTTTGGTTTTGAATCTCAACATAATGTTGTTAATCTTTACTCGTTTTTTAATACAACCCGCCTATCTCTTTTCGATGATGAATATAAATATATACAAGAGATTTAAAGAAATTGCTATTAGGAAAATACAATAAATTATTAAAAATCAGTTTGCCCATTCATAAGCTATCAATTCCTGTTAGAAAGCAAACGAGCCAAACACTAATTGTGTTTGTTTGTATATGAATCAGGTTGGGCTGTGACATGTGAGACCCCTGTGTGTCAGCACTGCATTTCCTCTGGTTGTCTAAACTTTAATACCCCCCCAAACTTAATTTGCTCTCCCAAGAAAAAATAAAAAGCCGCCTTGTGCTGCAGCTCTTCCCACTTCCCATTGAAAGTCCTCTCTTTAATGGGCCATTAAGAGCCAACCGCCATGGTTAAGCTGTCAGCTGGGTTTGATTGATTCTGTTAGACCATAGATGAGGAGATTCCTCCAGAAGCTCTCAGTTAAATGTCTCCAGTCCACCCCCTCCCTCCCTTTCTTCTCCACAGAGCGGTCACTGGGCATGTTTGCAGGGTACAGTGTGGGTATAGTTGGGTTTATTGTGCTTTTTCATTAGCAATAGGCAGGATATGGTTTAAGAGATTAGGGTTGCTCATTCTCCAGCTGCTGCACACTGTCCGCCAGCTAGCTGAAAGATAACCTTTACTTTTCCCCATTACTAAGAGGAAAGGAAAATGATCAATTTCAATATTTTCAATGGTATTAAAAAGGAAGGATAGTAGTCCTTAACTCTTTATGGATAGTTTAGATTATTTTGACACAAAGTTCTGTGATAATATTAACAACTATATTTGTAATTTATAACGCTGTCAGTGTCTGCAATATTGTTATAATAGGGGACTGAAATATAATAATAGTTGCCAGGTGTTTGCAAGAAGAATTCACATAACTGTGTTGTTAAGCCTGTTGGATGTGGTCTCATCATTGTCATCATCACTCACTCTAATTCATAGCAAATTACTTTACCTTTTAGTAAGAATAAATGTGTATTTATTGCAACTTATAGATGAAATTATACTTTTTTATTTATTGCATCTCCTTTTTTCTAATGGTATAACACAAACAAATCTTATGCTTGAAGAGATGGTATTCTTTAGGCCCTCCTTTGGACCCTCTGATCAACTTTTAAAAATAGAAATAATACAAGGGCTAGTTTTAGTTTTGTTTTCTATGTGTTTTCATGTTGTATTTGCAAAGATTTCCTACATTTGCCATTAGGCAACAAACAACATACTGTTTACCTTTATTTATAGAATGCTTCATTCAAAGAAATCTGTCTTGTTGTTATTTTTCTCTGATCTTATATCCATAAGCAGTAATAAACAAACTTTTACACAAAGGAATTTTTTTCTTGTACTTCTTCAATAAAGTCCTTCTCTATCATTTTGCAGTTGTAGACAATTCTAACTCACTAGGAGCAAGATTAAAAGGGGCTCCTTGAATAGTAAAAGTCAAGCAACTTCACCCATGTGTTTGCAAATTCCAAGTTTAAAAGATTTCCACAAATAGGAAAAAAAGAATAGAACAAGTGATCATTTTCAGGGTTTGACCTGCTTATCATTGATTAGAGCCAAGCAAAGGAAAATTGGTCTAATTTAATCTTTGGCTGATTGACTGATTCACTGATGTTTAATAGAGGCAGTAAAGCTTGATTTGTTTCTGTTGCAAATTAAAGCAATGTGATTGTGGGGTTTCACTGACTAAAGGCCTTAGAAATTATTGTATTTTTAATCAAGGTTGTTGTACCGTGACAGTCCCATACTGTCTGGTGCCTGATTGAGGTGTGTTCTGGTTTGCCATCCTGCAGCACAGCTTACTCACCAGTTGGAGGGACACTGAGGAGGAAAAGTTTAGCGTTTTGGGCTCCTTGTAAAAGTGGGCCACTGGTCCCTGTGGTGAGTGGCGCTTTTCTGGGGCAGGCTCAGTGGTGACGCTGGCCCAGCACGGAATCGGAACAGACGGCCTTGTCCGTCCATTTTGAAGCTAGGTGAAGAAACTGTGCCGTTAGATTCATTTAGCAGTAAAGGGTCTGCAGCTCTGACATGGTGGACTTTTGATGAACGTCTCATGACTGGACTTAACGAGTCTTTTAGTTAACCCGTTACAGGTAACTTTAACCTTTGTTAATTTAGTTAAAGTTTCATACCATAGAGCATGTGGGGGGTGTTTAAGTGTGAACTTAATTTGTGTTTCCATCTGGGTTTTTTTTTTTTTCTGAGCCCTGGAGTTAGAAGCAAACTGCTATTTAAAGATGCCATATAACCCAGCCAGCTGCTGCCGTTTCTGCTCCTGTTGTAATTGAATCAAAACTAGTAAGACTCGCCAGTGAGGGTGTGTGCGCTGCACAGAAGATTTCACAGTTGGGACCTCTACGTGGTCTGAAGCGGCTGCT